CATGAGAGCTTCCCAGAACGTGATGAGGTGTAATGATCGCGTCGCGAGTCAGCCAGAAGATCTCCGGTTTCGGATTCGCACATACCTGAAAACAGAACATATTGGTTTGGTGGAAAAGTTGAGTCATACTTCTTTGGACTTGGAAACCCTACTCTTGATTTGAGAAAGTCTGGCCGACAATATGGAACGAGAGTACTCAATACTACTCTCAAGTTCAAAATGAAGGAGCGGTATCAGGACCATGCCCTGAATGGAGTAGCGTCCGTGATCGGTAGCGTTTTTACTCACCTCTACTTCTATGAAACCAAGCTGTCCATATGGCAGGTGGTGATGGATGGTTGAAATCTTTTCAATTCCAACCACATTGATATTAAACTCCGAGCTGCAAAAAAAACTCGATTTATGCTCAAAATCAGAACGATAATCTCTAATAAGGCAGGAAATATTTCTTGTGAATGTAGAGTGAAAGAGCAACAGTAGCTTACCTTATCGCTTTGTTTTTCTGTTCAGATGTGGTCGCCTGGCATCGATAGGCGCCGGTCATTGTGAGCGAATTTGTCCGTAGCAAACATCTCGATCTGACTCGATGCTCGGTTTCCCTCGAAAGAATTGTCGTTGCAGTTACTTCTCAGCAATCAGTGAGGAACTCATTAGTTTTGGAGTTAGCAGTCGTCCTAATTTGGACCGGTGTAGAGCATCAGTTTGAGCGGAATGACTGTTTCAGTTCGGGCCCCTTCAGCTCATGAGACTTCTTCTTTCAGTTTGACCCCTTTTTCATATTGTACCCACCCTTCTACTGGATGCTCCCAAACTCCTACCAATTTCTCAGAAGTTATTTCGGTTTTCTGCCAAAGAACTGGAGCCGAGCGGGAGACATATACCATTTTCACTTCAAATTCACCCCTTTTCAAACCAAATTCACCCTCACTTTTCATCAAATTAACCACACTTATTAGGGCGGGCAACTCATCAACCAGATCACGCCAGACATCACTGCGAGCCCCGCCCCGACGGCCACGCCCACTTGTCAGCGCGGACATAGATTCTCAAATCTTGTTTCATAACTTCTGCTTTTGCTGTTTCCCACAAACACTTTGACTGAAAACGACCGGGCATTGACACATGGCCGACTCCGCCCATTCTCTAAAGGGTTTGGCAATCTAGGCTCCGCCCCTTGACCACGCCCACTTGCTTTTCGCGGAATTTTGATATTTTTTTTCAAAATTTTTGCATTTTAGGGCTGCTGCGTGAAGCCCCGCCCACTGTGAGAGGCTCCGCCCACTTTGAAGAAGCCCCGCCCACTTTTCAAAAATGGTGCAAATCGGCAGTATAGTCTCGGCTGGCATGCTAGGGTATTGCTGATCATTCGGAACAAACTTTGCCTGATTTTCTTGTTCCGAGTGACGAACGAGACCCTAGCATGAAAGCCAAGACCCTATACTGCCGATTTGCACCATTTTTGAAAAGTGGGCGGGGCTTCTTCAAAGTGGGCGGAGCCTCTCACAAAGAGCGGG